AGTGCCCCGAGGAGTGGCTGCCCCTGGGCGGGTGCCTGCGCCAGCCTGCACGGTGGCACAGGGTCTGCGCCCGGGACTGCCCAGGAGCAGCAGGACCAGCCCTGGCCCCTCATGCCACTTCCCTCCGCAGGTCTCTGGACCTTCCTGTGGTTCATCGGCTTCTGTTTCTTGACCAACCAGTGGTCCTGGACACGGGCCGAGGATGTGTACATTGGAGCAGACTCTGCCCGCGCTGCCATCACCTTCAGCTTCTTCTCCATCTTCTCCTGGGTGAGTGAACCACTCTGCCCCACTTGGGGGGACTGCAAAGGGGCCCCCTGTGCTTCACAGCCTGGAACGGCCTTGATGCTGCTCCTCCTTCTCTCTGCAGGGACTCCTGCTCACCTTCGCTTACAAGAGGTACAAAATGGGAGTGGAGGACTTTGCTCAAAGCTATGCTGACCCCAGCCCGGGGGTTCCAACTCCCTACTCCAGCTATCCCAACATTAGCCATGAGAGCTACCAGCAGCCACCCTTCACGCACACAGCAGAGGCCCCGGAGGGCTATCAACCACCACCAGTGTACTGAGTCCTGGCTGGAACCCGTGGGACAGCTGTACCAGTGCAATTCCTTTCGTGGGGTGGGAGGGAGGGATCTGTGACTTGGAGGGGACAGTGGGGCAGGAGGGTGATGGCTGCTTTTTTTGAAGGTGACTGGGCCTTTTCTTGGGGTGCAGGAGGGACTTCTGTCTGGTCCCAGAGCTGAGATCCTCACTGGAGGGTCCAGAGCCCAGTGTGTGATTTGGTGGGTGATTTAGCACATGATGATTTGCAGCTGCTGGGTGAACACTGCAGCTGCATGAGGTTGGGTGCATGGGCAACCCTGGCATGTGCAAGATTCTGCTTTTGCTGTGGTGCCTTGGTGGTGGGCTGTAGTTCACACCCCTGATCCTGGCCATGCTCTGCCCCTGTGACTTGCCCTGGCCCATCCTGTCTCCAGTGCCTTTCAGCCCTGTTGGCTGCATTCCCCCAAATGCTGTCTTTCGCTCTCATTGCCATAGCATAGCCAGGACCAGCTCCTGCCTGTGCTGGCTTCCCGTGCCTTCCCACATCAGCTGCTTCTGGGCGAACTATTGCCAAAGCCCCGTTTTCTCTAATGTCGTGCTGTGCCTTCCTCCAGCCTGCACTAGAACTGCTGGTGCTTGGACGATGCGGTTTGGGGTCTGTGGGAGCAACAAGCACTGAGATCCCTCAGCAGGGCCATGGCTGAGGACAGTCCTGGAGCACTTTCTTTCCCTCGTGTGCCTGCCCGAGTGCTGCCTGTGTTGCTGCAAGGCTGAGCTCCTGCACTCCTACACACAGGCTCTTGCCTGCCAGCCACACCAGGAGCCTGCAGGCCGTTGTCTCGGGTTGTATTTGCTGCTGTGCTGTGATAAAGCTGTTCCCAGCAGCTGTGTGGGCCATCACTGCTGGGGCCAGCCTTCAAGTAGTTGTCACTGTAGGGTTGGAATAAACTTTTTCACCAAGCCACCATGTGAGCCACCATATGCCTTTTGTCTCAGGGGAAGCAGAAAAGGATCCTTCCTTCTGCCCCTTCAGGGCTTGGAGCTTCAGGTGGGGCAGTGCAGCCCCTGCCAACTGCTGTTCTGCAAACGGCACACTCATGCTGGTGGCTATTTTTAGGCCACCCTCCTCATGCTCCCTGGTCTGAGCAGCCCTCCCACCCTGTGACCAGCCCATGCTGTCTCATTGGTCACAGCCAGGACTGGTAAAAATGCTCTGGTAAAAAACATACATGGGTTCATTAAGTTATTTATTAACCTAAAGCAGCAGCAGAGCCTTCTCCAGCCCTGGGGGAAAAGCCCAGGCCTGGTAATCAAGTGCTTGTGAATACAATAATTCTCACCTGTAACATGGGGGCAGCAGGAGGACTTCAGGCAGCTCTTGGAGCCTTCCAGGGCACAGGCAAACAGCAACCCTGGACTCAGATGCAGAGGTCTGGCCTAGCTAGAACAAAGGACTACTGCTTGGAGCCTGTGGATGCTGGAAAAAAACACTTCTGCAGGGACTAAGGAAGCAACAACCTTCCAGAATCTAAGTCTAACAAAGAGGGAAGAGGACCCTTCAGTCAGGTTAGAGCAGACTATGAGTCAGCCTCAAGAATTTTGGAAGGCTGAGGAGAAAGAAAGAGACATGACTAGAGCAGAGAAGCAGCTCCTCAGGAGAGCCCCTTTACCAAGCAGCTGGATCTTCCCTGGAATAATTGGTTCAAACTCTGAGCCTCCAAACCTCTCACAGGTAACATAGTACCAAAGTGGAAGCAGCAGCCTTGAACCTGAGAAAAACTGCTCTGAATTTGGAGGAGGCTCTTCCTGAGACCAGCTCCCCCAAACGAGTCTGTCACAGCCTGCTAGAATACAGCCAGCCCTTTGAGGTTCAACACCTCAGAAGAGTTAGCTGCTACGCCTTCTCCACCTTCTTCTGTTTCAACAATAATTGACACCAGTGAGCATGCTGACAGAGAAGCTGGGGGCCTGCCCAGGCCTGGGCTGCCTTGTGTCAGTTTAAAAGCTGTGTCACAGCTCTGTGGAAAGGGACAAGTTACCTCAGACAGTTAAAGAAGGAAGCTAAAAATTGCAGTTAAAATACTAATGGCTGTACATTGTCTTGAGAAACCTGGAATTAAGCAACAGTGCACAAGAGAGAAGGGCTGCATTCACAGGCACCAGAAGCAGCAGTGCCAGCCTGAGCATGCTTAGACTGGGAGAGCTGGCCAGAGCCACAGTGAGTGGCAGCAGCACTGTGGCCCAGCTTGACATGCAGTGCCCCAGGGCCTGTGTGTGGCAGCATCAGTAACTGTCTCTCTTCTTGTTCTGAGATGGAAATTCACTCTAGCCAGGCTTTTGCTTCAGCTTCTACCAGCATCAGGTTTGGTGGATCTTTAGTTATGGCGCTTGGTGCAGGGAGGTTGGGTAGGCAGGGCTGAGGCACTGAACAGTTTGTTCAAGTACAGAGAGGCAGACCCCGTGCCTGTGAGCCACAGCACTGAGCTCCCTTCCCCTCCATTTTCCCAGCAGTCAAGTGAAGATCTTCCGAGGGGCAGCTGTCTCCAGCTGCCTCAGGGCCAGGGGCATGTTCTCCTTGTTCTCTGGCCCAGCCTGCTGGGGTCGCTTGCGGAAGTAGCAGGCTCGGCACACGGAGTGGTACTTGTCAGCTCCTCCAATCACTTCAACCTGGCAGGGAAATTTGGGGAGTGACTGCAGAGCCCAGCTCCCTGGAGGGTGTCTCTCTGTACCAGCAGGACTGGAAAGGTGAAACAGTTTCTGTTTCAAAGTGACTCACCTCCCGCTCTGCTCCCAGCCTCTTGGTGTAGGAGGCCTCCCGGAAACACTCCATGCACACAGCGTTCAGCTTCACCACGCTCTCTGCCAGTGGCACCAGGTTCAGGATGCTCCCAAAGGCCTGTGTGAGACAGCAGGGAAGATGCTGCTGGGTGGGTTCCACAAGGGTCCCAAAGCAGCTGCTGTGCCACAATGAATGTTTTACCTTTCTCTGGAAAGTTCCATCCAGAGCAGCAACAATGACAGTTTTCCCAGTATTGGCCATTGTCTCGCAGAACTCCACAATGTCTGGGAACTGGAGGGGTACAGACACATTGTAAAGAAGGGGGGCAGGGGGCAGCACTTGGCTCCAGATCCCACAGTGCATGCCCAGACAGCAGCACCAGGAACAAGGAAAATCAGAGCCATGTGCCCTGCCTGTGAAATGGGCTGCAGTCCCACTGTCCTGCTGCAGGGACTATAGGGAAGAAGGCTTTGACTGTAAGCACAGGCCATATGGATCAAACTGCCTCAGGGCACTACTTCCCCCCTTCCTACAAAGGACAGGCCTTGGTGTGCACAGGGTGTACCGAGGAGTCTGTGTCCCGCAGAGCCCAGCAAACCCACCCCAGCCAAGCACTTACGAACTGGCCCTCATCAATGCCGATGACGGCAGCGCCCAGTGCTTCCTGGTAGACGTCCTGGAGGAGCCCAGCGGGCAGGGCCTCCATGGTGCTCCTGTGGGTAGGGAGGGAGTGAGGTGGACAGGCCAGGCAGCCCCGTGGAAGTGGGGTGTCCTCCTGCCCCGGGAGCTCACTTGTCGTGTGTGGAGACCCCGGAAGAGCTGTAGCGCGTGTCCTTGGCATACTTCACCAGCAGGCACTGGTACTGGGCGAGCTGGAACCGTCGCACTCGCCGCATGAGTTCCGTGCTGCAAGACACAGTGTCAGCGGGCCTCAGCCTCAGCCCGCTGCCTTCCCGTGCTCCAGCCCTGCGCCTCCCGCTCCGCGCCTACCTCTTTCCGGAGAACATGGGCCCGAAGATCACCTAGGGCAGAGCGGCGCGGTCAGAGCAGCAGCCAGCGAGAAGTCCCGGCTCCACCCAGTCGGGGGTCCCCGCAGACCCCTCAGCCCGGCGCGGCACCTGTACCTGCCCCCATCCCGTTCCCGGAGCAGTACCGTACCCGTATCTGCCCCCATCCCGTTCCCGGAGCAGTACCGTACCCGTATCTGCTCCAAGCCCGTGCCCCGGGCAGTACCGTACCCGTATCTGCCCCAAGCCCGTGCCCCGGGCAGTACCGTACCCGTATCTGCCCCAAGCCCGTGTCCCGGGGCGACACCGTACCTGTATCTGCCCGCGGGGCCGGCTAGGGGAGCCGGGATGGACACCGGGCACCGTCAGACAGTTCATGGCGGACTGCCGGCTCGAGCCCGCGCGCGCCGATTCGGCGCGGTCCCGTCAGCCAATCGGAGGAGGCCTCTCCCCCACGCGCCACAGCGCTAGCCAATCGCGAAAGGGCTTGCGCCGCCGCGAGGCAGTGCTGCCCAATGGAGGTCAAGGGCGCCAAAATTTTTATTTTCCTCTGCCCGCCGGCTCCGCCCTCCCGGTCGCGAGCGACCCCACCCCCAGGCTCTGGCCCCGCCTCCACGGTCTGGCCCCGCCCCCGAACTCGGACCTCGCCTCCGGGGCGACCAATGGGAGCGCGTCCGTCCGCCCACCTCCCGCTCAGGCCCCGCCCCTCGGCGGGCAGGCGGCCCCGGGAGCGGCCCCGGGAGCGGCCCCGGGAGCGGCTCCACGATGGGTGGGTGGCGGGACATGTCCGCGGAGGTAGGGCCCCGAGGCAGGTCCCGCGGGTGGGCAGAGCGCGGTTCTCGTCCGGGCCGCCGGTTGGGGGCTTTCGCGTGGCCCCGCAGCTGCCCCGCTGCCTCCCGTTGCAGGCGCTGGAGGACCATTACTCTCCCAGTCGCTGGTCCCCCCGCCTGGAGCGGGACACCATCATTGACGCCCACCTCGCGGTGACGGCGGCAGGTGGGGATCGTGGCGCCGGGAGAGGGGCCGCGCTCGGTGCCACGGCACCGTGCTCCACCGCCTCCCCCCGCAGGAACCGAACGGGCCCGGGCCAGCACGCGGACCTTGCTGCACGTGCCCTATGGCATCGGGGACGGGGAGAAGCTGGACATCTATTTACCCACGGCCCCTTCTGAAAGTGAGTGACGGGGTGGCGGGGGCGGGAGCGGGCAGGGTGGACACCCGGCTCATCCCGCACTGTGCTGCACAGCCTTCCCGGTTCTGGTTTACATCCATGGCGGATACTGGCAGTGCTTGAGGTGGGCTGTCGGTGAGGGGTTTCCCGGGAAGGGACCCCCTCACCAGTTCCTGCTGACCCCTTCTCCTGACACTGGGGCTTGCTCTGGGTACAGGGGGTCTGACCAGTCCCCAGCTGGCCCTGCAGCCCCTGGCTCCCGCAGCCTGTCAGCATCCCTCTCCCCCCAGTAAAGACAATTCGGGGTTTGCAGCCCCTCCGCTGGTGTCGCAGGGCGTGGCAGTGGTGGCGGTGGGGTACGACATAGCCCCTAAAGGTAGGTGCTGCCCTGCAGAGGCTGCAGCTGCCTGCGCAGCCCAGCGCCCTCCAACCCTGCCCTTTGTCCTCTGCCCAGGCCACATGGACACGATGGTGCTGCAGGTGCGCCGCAGCCTCGTCTTCCTGGTGGAGCGGTACCCCAGGAACAGGTGGGCAGCTCCCAGATCAGGGCTTGGTCTGTGGGAGTAGCCAGGAGGCAAACAAAGCCTGCAGCAGGACAAAGGATTTGGCACCTCAGTCAAAGCACTGGGCAGTGCCTGTGGCCACAATCTCCTGTCACTGAAGAGGGCAGCAGCTGATAGATTGGGAAACATCTGAGCTGACAAATTCAGGCTGTGCCACCTCCTCTGCACAGAGCAAAGCGTGCCTAGGTGTCCCTAGGTGTCCCTCTCAGTCACTCCCTCCTACTGGCTCACTGCTCCCTCCTTCCAGAGGCATTTACTTGTGCGGACACTCGGCAGGGGCCCACCTGGCAGCCATGGTGCTGTCCACAGACTGGACGGAATTCCAAGTGGTGCCAGATATCAAAGGTAGTGTCGCCATGTCCCAGAACAGGGTGGGGAGAAGAACTGGTCTCCACACCTGGGACAAGGCTGTGGGGCTGATTATGCTAACTGATTGTGAGGTCCCCAGGGCTGTGGGAGCCACCCAGGCTGCAGCTCCTCACCTGCCAATGCCTCTGCCTCCAGGAGCGGTGCTGGTGAGCGGCCTGTATGACCTGGAGCCCATCCTGCACACCTATGTGAACGACGCTCTGAACATGAGCCGGTGAGCTCCCATGCTGTGGGGACAGCCATGGGGACAGAGGACAGGCAGGCAGTGTCAGGCAGCCACTCTGCCCCAGCTGGGGAGTCCAGCTGACAGCACGGGCGCTCTTGGAGCGAAGGGCTGCATCAGCTGCCATCGGTGTGACTCCTGCAGGGAGGTGGCCCAGAGGAACAGCCCCATGAGACATGTCACCCCAGCAGCGCCAGCAGCCTGTGAGATGCTTGTGGCTGTGGCCCAGCATGACTCCCCAGAGTTTCGCAGGCAGTCACAGGAGTACAGCCAGGTGAGCATCAGGCAGTTGCAGGAGCATGGCCAGGTGAGTTCCAGCAGCACCCTGCTCGGCTTTGGTGGGGACACTGCTCCAGGCAGCCCTCACCAACTTGCCCAACCGGGAGGAAGAGCTTCTGTGCTGATCCAAAGCAGTTTCTGGTTCACAAGAGGACACCAGTCCTTGTCAAGACATTATTCCTGCTGCTTGTCCAGGGCAGGTGGAGTTTGGGGTCCATCCTGTGGCACTGCTCTCTCTACAGGCCCTGCGCGAAGCCGGCTGGTCTGTCTCGCTGCTGGATCTGGCTGGTGTGGATCACTTTGACATCATTGAGAAGTTGTCAGAGGACAGCTACGTCCTCACTCAGGTAGGCAGGAGGGCTGTGCCAAGGCAGATCAGGTGGCCTGCCACCTCCCTGTGGGGAGGTGCAGGGTCAGGGGCTTTTCACAGGGTTTGGTTCCTCATCCCAGGTGATTCTGAACATGATTTCAAGAGCATGATGGCACCTCGGGAGTAAACACATGGAGATGGTGCCCCTGTGTGGTGGCAAGGGGCATCTGGTGTTCCCCTGCCTGCTGCCTCCTCCATCTAACAGGGCCGCCACTGTCTGAGACCTGCACTGTGCCCTCTCCATTCTGCCCAGCCTAGGCTGGTGCCCCTTCCCTGTGGTGCTCTTGCTCACTGGAGCGCAGGGGACTGAGGGCTGCAAGGCTCTGTCTGGGCAGCTAGGTCATGAAGTTTGCTCCCCCAGTGCCCTTTAAACTGCACACTGGCAATACAGAATAAAATGGGAATTACTGTTGCCTGGGGTAGTGCTTCCCAGGGACCCAGTGAGTGCACACCCAAAGCAACTGCTGCTGAGAGAATCCCTTCTTCCAGTGCAGAGTTCTGGGACTTGCTAACCCAGAACATGACAGGGAAGCCTGGGGAGCCCACCTGCTGCTGCGGGACAGAATGACATAAGCCTCTGTGAATGCAAGTGACAGCCATCTGGGCCAGTCCTTGGACAGTCTTGACCAGACACAAACCTTGGCATTGCTGTGCAGAAACTCTGGTGGCTGAGATGGTTCCATGTCCTCAAGAGCAATTGTCCCTCCACGGGGACCTTGGCTGTGATGATGTCCCTGTTGCAGAGCAAGGAAAAGAGCACATTTGAGGAAAAAACACCCTGCACAGCTACAGTACCACCAAAAGATGTTATTTTGTGCACTGACTGCCTCAAGAGCTGGGGTCTCCACTAGGCTAGGCTCACATTGGTTTGTCAGGCTGCCTGTGAGGGCTGATGTCAATTTTCAGATGGCTGGAAACACATCTGGAGCACAAAGGGGCTGGCAGAATGCTCAGGCTCTCCCAGTGCTGGAGGCGTTGGATGCAGTCTCAAGGCCAATTCCTCCTGATACTTCCTGGCCACAAATTCCAGCTTTCTCCTTGTGAGGTCAGTGTCACGGGCTGAGACGTTGCGGTACCAAGAAGGCGTGTACAGTCTGTGCCGACCAGGGGAGCAGCAAGATGCTGACAGTCTGCCTGGTCTCAGCCTCCTCCTCCTTGCTGATGGGACGCAGGTGCTCGCAGAGCTCGGCAGGGGACGGCCAGGTGCCCTGGACATTTACCATCACAACGTTGGTCTCCACTGCGGCCAGGGTGATGGAGCAGAGGGGAGAGTCCAGCGCATGGCTACCTGTGGGAGGCCAAGGTGATGCAAGCTCACTGCCCAGCTACCTGGAAGAGGCTGCCTGCCCCAGCCCCGCCCCAGGTTCTGGATGAAGGAGAGCCCTTTCTCCCTCCATGTGGTACCAGAGTCACCAAGCACAGCACAGGGACGCTCATGGCATGATCCTGGCACTCCAGCCAGGTGAGGATCCCAGCAGCATCCTCACCCAGCTGGAGACCCAGTGTGGCCATCCAGGGATGGTGTCCAAGCCACCACTACAGCAGCACTGCTGGGCAGTGCCAGGTGTGTTGTTACATCCCAGCACACTCAGGGGACCCGAGGTACCTTCTGCAAAGTTCCAGGCATTGTTGTGGTCTCTGTGCAGCGTCACCTTCACCTGCTGCAGCCTGAGGTGGGCAGCAGCTGCCAGCGCTCCCATGCCCCTGCCCAGCAGCTTCCGAACACGCCAGGCTTTGGCGACAAACTCCCTGCACCCTGCCAACACCGCACCAGCCAGGGCGCCCATGCCCTGCAGAACCACCAACAGGGTCACTCCAGCTGTCCAGGGGCAGCTGCCCCTCCTGGGCTGGGGTCCAGCCTGCCAGATGTGTTCTTAGCCTAACACCTGCAAACAAGGGCCAGACTCCAGCTTGTGCTGTCCTCTGCCAGCCCTGGGGACCCCTCCCCACACAAGCCAACCTTGGAGAAGCAGCGGGACAGAGTCACAGTGCTGGGCAATCTGAGCTGGCTCCACACCCTGGGCCACTGCTGCATTCATCAGTCATGCGCCATCCATGTGCACCCACAGCCTGTAATGGTCTGCAAGCCCACAGACCTGGGAGTCAGGGAGACAGCTGGTTTGGGAAGGACCACTGGAACACCACAAGCCATCTCTGAGCTTCAGTGTCCCCGCAGTGTCATTGTGCAGGGCCCAGCTGCTCATGCCAGGCAGGATTGTGCCAGGACCAACTGTGTGCTCTCACCTGCCTGAGACAGGTGAGGAACAGTGCCCGGCCCCCCCACGAGTTGTGCATGTTCTCCAGACAGATGAGCTCAGGACGCGTGTGGTACCGGCTGCTGTGGGCCTCACAGAGAGTCAGCTCCAGCTGATCCTGGTCAAACGTGCCATTTGGCAGATCTGGCAGTGACTGGGAGTGCACACCGGCGACCTGTGCCCAGGGCAGGGGAGAGCACAGAGCTGGCAGGGGACAGTCGTGGTGCACGGGGGCTCCAGCCCTCTGTCCCCTCTTGTCAGGTGTGTACAGCCCCCACTCGTGCTGCAGCCCGTGTCTTGGGACAATGATCCAGAGGATGCCCTGGCAGCGGATCGTCTGCCCGGCCGGGCCCTGGCAGCAGAGAAGGGCAGCACGCAGCCGCCCTCCTGCCATCGTAACCACCGCCACGGCCCCCGCCGTGCTCGTAGAGGTGCAGGTGGGCGTCCTGGCCCAGGGACGGCTGAGCCCCGCTGCGCTGGCAGTGGCACATCGCTGGGAGAGAAGGGCCGTGAGGGAGGGAGCCACGGGCAGCATCCCACAGCCTGGGGGCACGAGGGGCTGCGAATGCAGCCCCGGACTCGCCGGCGATGAGGTTCATCACGGTGGCCGTGGGCACGAACAGAGCCGATTCCGACCCCACAGTCCCCGCGGCCCGGCGCTGCAGCTCTGCGCGGGGACACGGATGTCCTGGGGGGCTGGCGCTGGGCAGGCCCAGGGGCATGGGGACCCCAGAGGTCCCGGCTTGCCCGCAGTCCCGCTCCGGGCCCCTCATCCCACTGCCCCCGGGTCGGGGGCTGTGCAGGCAGCCCGTTCACCGCCGGGTCCTCCCCGTAGTCGTCATCGCCCACGGTGGCGAGGGCCATGGCGCATCACCGCGCACGGCCGGGTCACCGTGTCGCTCCGCAGGTCCACGACAAACGGCAGGGCCGCGGCGGAACCCCGCGGCTCCGTCTCCCCGGTCATCCTCCCCGGCCCGGGCAGCCGCCCCCGCCGCAGCACCACCCGCATGGCCGGGACCGCCCCCCGCAAGGGCTCCCGGGCGGGGGCGGGATCGCGCATCCCGGGAATACGGGGCGGGAACGGGGCACCGCGCGCCAACCGGGGCTGCCTCGGAACGCCCCCATCCCTCCATCCCCCACCACTCTGGCGCTGGGGAACACGCTGGGGGCTGCCCCGGCCCCGCACTGCCCCGCGGCCCCTCCCCATCCTGGGTGTCGCACGGGAGGGAGCGCCAGGGGGATCCTGCGGAGTCTTTTCCATGGCTGAGCAGGAATTGCTCCCGCCCCGCTGCGCCCGCTGCCAGCGAGGCTGGCACGGGATCGTCTGGGCGCTGGGAACTGGCTCCGGCTCTGGCTGCGTCTGCCCTGGCAGCAGCCGATGCGCTGTCCCATGGCACTGCAGGTGGGCTGGCGCTGCAGCGGTGCTCTGAATCTCTGGGCAGCTTCACAAGTCTCGGCACTCTGCCTTCTCTGAGGGGACCCACCGGCCTCTTGGCAGAAATCTCCACTGCCCCTCAGCAGGAGGGCGAGTATCCAAAGCAGCAGCGAGACCCCCTCACCTCCCCCCGCTGCGCTGGAGCAGCCCTGCTGCTAGCACGGCGGGGGCACCACTGCAGCACGCAGCACCTCTCATGGCATTTGCAGGGGATCAATAGAGCAAGTGCATTAAGGTGCCTCTTACCCTCAGCCCCTGTCCCCCTGTGAGTGTTGTGTGCTCCAGCCACCAAGCTGCTGCCTTCTTCCATCTGCCACGTGCCCCCCAGCCTTGGTGGCCCCAGGTTCCCTATCCTGAGCCCCCTTCAGCCACCACACCGGTGCCCACTCTGCCCATCCCCCTGCCTGTGCCCCTGTCCATGGAGCCCCCTCCCTCACTATCGCCTGTCACCCCCCGCCGCGCTGTCAGCCCCGCAGATGAGTGAGCCATAAACAGTCCTTCATGAGACGTTTTTCACACGCAGGGCCACATGTTAACAGTTTTTCTTTATTTACTGCCTCCATTTCCTCTTTGTTCCAGGAACTTGTCCTCCAACTTCAAGCTGCTCATGATTAGGCAAAAAGGCCTCTAATCTCCCCGATCTGATTTACCGTCACTGGGAGCAGACGCTTCCCGTTACTGGCCCTGGACCTGGGAGCATGGACAGCTGAGCTGTGCCGGCTGCTGAGCCCAGCTGAGCCTCCCCAAAGCTGCCCCGCCACACACACCGCCTTCCCGGCAGCTTCCTCTTCCAGTAAGTGCTGGGCAGTGCAGCCGGTCACACCGCAGGTGAAGGGCTGGGGGAACAGCAGCTGTGGGGCCCCAGGCAAGGGATCTCCCCCGCTCCACCTGGGGCAGCTGATGTAGGGCAGGGCAGGCTTTGGAGCCACTTTCTCTGCCTGGAAGGGCTGGATGGCTGAAGCACCCCTCATCATGACCTTCCCAGCCACACTCCCATGGCACCTGATGGGTTGATTGCCCTGGTGTGCCCAGAGCTGAAGGGCAGCTCAGGGCTCTGCTGTGGGCAGTCCCCCCAGCCCAGTCAGGGTCTGCAGCCAAGCAGGGGCTCCTTCACTGGGCAGCAGCCACAGCTTCTGCAGGACTGTGCAGTGTGGCTGGGTGTCTTCCACAGAGCCCCTTGTCCTTCAGCCCTGTGTCTTTCCCTGGGACTTTGGTCTGGGACGTCCTTGGGGGTCCCCCCTTGCTACCAGCACCCACAGAGCTACCCCTCCCTGTGACCCAGCAGGGCCATGGTGGGGCTTGATGCGGCCAGCACCATGGAAGCGCTTGTAGCCTTATGTGGAGCAGCTGAATGGACGCCACGGGAGCTGGGCAGAGGGTGGGCAGTGCCAGTTTCTGGCCAGGGGCTTGGCTGGCAACTGGGGACTAGCAGGGGCTCACCCAGGACCACACTGCACCACAGGACTGCAGTCACCACCTGCCCACACCAGCTCCTGTGGCGGGCTAAGCCCCTGCCCCCCTGGGCTCAGCTCCTGCTCCAGTCGTGGCTCCCCAGGGCTAAAATTAGCAGCTGAGGCCTGGCTGGGGAGCCAGGAGTGAAGCCCAGATCCCACCGCGGAGGATCGGGTTTCCCCCCTCCCTACCACAGGCCTGGCAACCACTGGGGCCGATTCCCGGAGCTGGGCCCCCCCTGCTACCAGCCCTACTGGCAGCCCCATCCCAGGCCTGCCAGGCCCAGCTGTTTGATCAGCATGTCCCCGGGGCTGAGCCAGGGCACATCCCGGCTGCAGGAGGGGCTGTGGGATGGGGGAGGCAGAGCGCTGTTCCTCCCGGGGCATCATCGGGCTGGGGCTGAGCCCTCTGCCCCTGGCATACATGAGTGCCCTGGGACAGGGTGGCAGTGGGCTCTGCTCCCATCCTCCTAAGCAGAGCCGGTGGCTGCGGCCATGGAGCTGTCAGTGGCCCAGGCAATGCCCCGGGGGTCTTGTGCTGAGCGCCGAGGGCTGACTCAGGACCTGGCCATGGCCACAACGTGCTCACCATGAGCTCAGGGTGCTTTCCTGTCAGTCTGTGAGCCCTGCAGCAACACTGTCCATGCTGCCCGTGCTGCTCACCCTGTGTGCCCTGTCGGCTCCATGGCTCGTCCCAACGGGTGTCACTGGCCCTGCCCGTTCTGGAGAGCCCTGGTCCCATCTGGGCTGAGGCAGCTGCCGTCCATCGCCGTCGAGGGTCCTGAGCCACGGAGCCGAGCAGTTTTCTGCTGCCGGGAACGGCAGGGTGATGCCCAGGAGCACCAGGAGCGCTGGCTCCAAGCTCAGCCGGGTCGGGTAGGGCACCCAGGACCGGGACCCCGCCGCACTCCTGGGGTGCCGGTGACATGTCCCGAGCTGTGGCACCGGCCGTGCTTCGGCCCGGGACAGGCCCGGGGCTGCCGGGGCCGTGGCCGGCGAGGGAGCCGCAGGTGCCCCGGGGAGCCTCGGTCGGAGCTCCGCGCGGGCCGCTGCTGGAGCCCGGTAGCCGCATGGTCCGGCCCGGTGCCCCGTCCCCAGCCTGCGAGGCCGCGGGTGCCCCCCCTCCGCCGGCAGCGACTTTTCCAGTAAAACCGCCGCAGAGATCCCGGCTTCCCGACAGGCCCGGCCTCCGCGCCGGGGGGGCGCCGGCCGCCCTTAACCCTTCCCGGCCCGGCCGGCCGCGCGGTGCCCGCCCGACGGGCGTCTCTGAGCCTGGGACCCGCCGGGTTCTGCCCGCCCAGCCCGGCTCGGCGGCTCCGGGGATCTGCGAGGATTCTGCCCGCCAGGCCCGGGGCGTCGATAGCCCCGCTCCTCGGGGCTCCGGCGGCGCCACTGCGGGGCCGGCCTGAGCCGCCGGGCACCGGGACGGGCCCGGCGCCGGGGCCTTCGCGGCCGCTGCCCTCGTGGGCTCCGGCCGTGCCGGGAGCGGCCTCCCCCAGCCCATCGTGCCCCCCGTGCCGAGGGTTTCCCTTCTCTGGGTGCTCCTGAACAGGGGCTGTTCTGCAAAGCAGATCCAACATCCCAAGGGCCAAGGAGCCGGAGAACGGTCGGGGAGAAAGCCGCTCTGCACAGGGTACCCCGGTGCGGGCTGCCTGGGGGCTGTGGGGAGGGAGCAGCCGGGGGTCCCTGGGACAGCCCTGGTGCTGGAGGAGCTTTGGGGCACCTTGGCAGAGCGCTGGAGCCTGTCACAGCTAAAGGCTGGTTGCTCCACATCCCTGCTCCAGCTCGCCACGGGGATGCTCTGGCTGGGTGGGCAAACCCGTGGATGGCCAGGCACCAGGGGTCCGTGCCGAGAACCGTTCCGGGCCGTCCCTGCCGTGCCCTGCCTGCCACCAGCTGCTACACTGGCTGAGCCAGGGCTGAGGTAAGTGCTCTAATTGTTTTCTCTGTGGCCCGAGATGAATAATTGAGAGGTCTTTGAGGAGAATTAATTAGCCCGTTTATTGGCAGTAAATGCTTTTCTCCAGATGATGAAATAGATCCTGAGCCACACGTGGGGCAGGCAGATGCAGGTCACTGATGCTGCTCTGGAGCACGCCAGTGCCGGGTCCACAGGCCAGCCGTGCTGGTGTCCCATGCCCACTGTGGATTGGCACACTGGTTCTGGCTCTCATGCTGCCCAGTGTGCCCAGAGCTCACTGCACCCATGGCCAGCACTTTGTGTGGGGAGCCTGGTGTTGCTGGGAGCAGGGGACACTGAGGGGCAGGCAGGGTTCTGCAGCTCAGTGGAAGTCTTGTGCCCCCATCATGCCCATGTAGCTTCCTGCTTCCCCCCGGCTCACACCCCATCCTGCGGGCTCCCTCCCTGTGCAGACCCTGATATGTCCCTTTATGTCTCCTTGGTTCTCCTGAATGCCAGGGTGGTGCCAGTTTGGGGCTTGTAGCCTGCATCTCCTTCTCACCTCCTCTTCTTCCTCCCTCTCCCCTGGGTATGGGGTGAAGTGCCTTGCATGGCCCGAAATGCTTAACAAGGATTTCCTTGTTGCTGCATGAGCTGTTTGCCTTCTCCCGGGCCAGCCGTTAATGAGGTTTGGCAGGAGGCACTGTCAGCCCCAGGCACTGGGTTTCTATAAATCAGCCTGGAGCTGATGTGTGGGGCTGGTATGGAGCTGCTCGATCTTGGTGCATGGGACTTCAGCTTGTGGGTCCTGGGAGTCCCTCTGGGAGTGGAACATCCTGGCATGGTGGAGAGGGGCAGGGGCTGAGTGGGCCAAAGGGGCTCTTCCCACCAGGTAGGTCAGGGCAGCCACTTCACACATTTCCAGGAATGGCAGAGAGTGCAAAGCAAAAAATAAAGCTGCTTCCTATGGCTGAAGTACCTTGTCCTGATCTTTCCCACATGACCAACTTTTTTTGCCAAGACCGAGAGAGACTGTTGGGTGCTCTGAACTGGGATGATGATCCTGCCCTGCCTTGGGGTGGGGGGCTGTGGCTGTGCATCCCCGGGCAAACTCAGGCATGCAAAATGGGGCAGGCAAATCATCCAGGCCCCTGGGATAGCATTTGCTGCTTCCTTCTGCTGGAAGCAACGCCACAGGGGCAGGGCTGGCGTGTGGGCCCTTTGTGCTGAAGCCATGTTGGCAGATGTGCTGGCTGTCACTGGCACAAGGACAC